ACACACACACACACACACACACACACACAAAGAGTTCTCCAGTGATACTAATGACGCTTAGAAAATAAATTCTATTGGGAGTCTCATTGATTCCTCCAGCTCCTCACTTCCAGAAACAAAGCCCACCTGGCTCACAGTAACACAGATATTAGGAGAGACTCTGGCTACGTGGAGGGGAGTGGGGTGAAAAAGTTATCTTCGATCTGAATTAACCTTGGGCTTTGAAAAAGGAATAGAGACTGATCCAGGGTGCCTGGAAGGGCATCGAATCTGCACCATTGTCTAGTTGTGTGACATGAACAAGTACCGAAAGCTCTCTGCGCTTCCATTTTCTTCCCTGTGAACGAGGATAAGAAGTGCGCCCACTTCACAGAACTGTTGTGAGAAATAAATAACTTGGCTAAAACCCACACAGCCTCTTTCCAGAGCCTAATACACAGTGGCTCACTCAGGGAATGCCAGCCATTGCTGGATGGAATGCTATTACCATTCAATTCGGGGGTCCAGTCCTTACCAGGTATGCATCCTTTGAGCACATCTCTTCTCATCGGGCCCCTTAGAATCTCTCTCACAGGCAATACCAACTGCCCTCGGTACGGATTCTGCTAGTAAGAAGTTGAATAGGGGGGTTCGGCGAGCAGGGGGTGCAGTGGGGTTGAGTGTGGGGAGGGCATCATGGACTAGCAGCAACTTTGCGAGAAAAGAAGAGGTTCCCGAACTTGGAAAGAAATGTGCATGCTCTCCTACCTGATGGAGTGTGGGCATGTGGCCACCTGTTTAAACTCTATAACCTCCTGTAAGAAAAGCAGAGTTAAGCTTCCCTCAGGTAGCGACCAAGACAGGCTCTCATCTCTATGCATACCTCCACTTCCCAGCCTCAAGCCAGGCGCTCAAGCATTTATGGAATAAGCGTGGTCTCGTGTCCTGACTGTCCAGCAGAGGCCGCCCTGGGCTGGAGCTCCCGGGACCTGAGCGCCGGGGGTGGCCCAGGCGTCGCCGCGGGGCGGGGTGGGAGGGGTTTGGCGGCGGCTGCCACGGCCGAGAGGCGGCCCCGGGCGCTGGCGGCTGGGATGGGGCAGAGGAGCGCTGGGCGCCGGAGGGCACGCAGCTGACGGAGCTGTTCAGTTCAGCGTTCGCCGGGCTTCGCCTCCCAGTCAGTCCGCCCCGGCGAAGCCGCCCAGGCACCGCGCTCTTCCCTGTTCCCCGCGCAGCCCGAGGTGCAGACGAAGAGCCGCCGGCGCCCGGGCGCTCGGTCGTCCCTGCCAACTCTCCAGCAGCCCGCGTCGGGCTCGGCCCCCGGGCCCAGGGGTACCATGGTCTGCAAGACGCTCTTCGCCTTTTGCATCTTCACCGCAGGTACTTGGGGGCGCCGCCGGGGCTCGGGGATCAAGTCGGGCGTCTGGGCAAAGAAGTCCCGACGCCTGGAGGAGGGCTTGCTGCCGCCCGGGGTGCGCGGAGGTGTGTGCGCATTGGGCTTTGGGGTGACGTGCGTCTTTGGGGATCCTGGGCAGCGAGGGGGAGAGGGAATGGCAGCGTCTTTCGTGGCGCAGAAACTCCGGTTTTGTGGAACAGGTGGCTGCGCCGGCGCGGTTGACCCCGGGGTGGGCCACACCGACTGCTTGTCGAGGCTCCTCTTGCCTCCAGGGTCTCCGGGTGCACCTTGCAGCCCCAAGAGCCTGCGACCACACTTTCTGGTGGGACGACTGACCAAAGCAAGGGGGAGAATGGCCTTCGGGGAAGCTTTGCTGGGGTCTGCGCGGCGGCCGGGCGCGACTTGGCGGTCTCTGGCCTCCCGCGGCACCCTTGGCAGCCCCGCTGGCGACGGCGACCGGCGGCGCCGGCCAGGTTGAAGGTCGCCATCTCGGCGGAGAGTTTGCCAGTCTCGCCGGTGCTTCCCCAGGGAAAGGAATCGCTTGGCCAAGACCAGCCTCCCCTGGTACCACACACAGACGCCGGGGCCAGACCGCTTCACACCGGTGATCTCTAGGCTCAGGCCACCAAGGCTACTGGATAGCGGGGTGGCCCGGGCGGGAGGACTGGGTGCGGCGTGGTGGCAGAGCCCAGGAGAGAGTCAGAGCCCCGTGCAGTGCCGAGTTTGCGGGCCCAATGTTCCAGAAAAGACTTGTCGAGTCGTGGCAAGGGACGGCAGAGTCGTGGCTAAGGTCACGTGTCTAAGCACCTATGGGAAAAAAGTAGCCAGAGCTGCGCGGACACGCAGCTTTTTTCAGGAAGAATGATCAGAATTTGACACCGCCAGCGGATGGAAAAGATCGTTTAGTCATAGATCCCCTCACAACGTCCCCCCACCCCAGCCCTTATAAACCTCTTGGACAGGGTCATGACAGGTCATTCTCAAAGGATAATAGCTAAAGGAAAAGTTTCGCAACCTGAGGCAATTGACTGAAACTGTGCGGAAACTCCCTTCGCTCGCGCTCCGGTCTCTGGTTTGGAGACGCGCGGCCGCAGGCTGTCCAGAGCCCTCTCCGCTTGCGCCGCGCGCCCGGGGTTGCGCATCTGGGAGCGCCTGGATCCGGGTAGCTGAGCTCGCCGCCTGCTCCGCCCAACCTTGCTATTTATGATGAATTCTGTCCTGGTGGAAACAAGAGCTGTTTGCGAAATGACACGGAAAATGCCTTGACTTTCTTCTCAGTTAAAATGTACTCATGATGTGCAGTTAACCTTTAAGGAGCCAGCATGGCCAGAAATTAAGTTTGCTTTTGTAAGCAGATTGTCCTTGAAAAGAACAATACAACACAACTCTGCCATGTGGGGGGGGGGGGGGGGGAGACGACTGAATCAATCCTAACATGAGTGCATTTTAGCATCCTGCCTCCCTAAACTCAAGATTTCAATAGTGTGTGTGTGTGTGTGTGTGTGTGTGTGTGTGTGTGTGTGTGGTGACCGCGCGCACGAGCAGGAGCATTCCCAGGCTTTTAAATCCTGCATTCCGGAGTCCTGGTAGCATAGTGATGACAAATTGGGCTGCTAAGCACAAGGTAAGCCGTTCAAAACCACCAGCGGTTCTGAGTGAGAATGAGGAAGCTTTCTACACCAGTAACCCACAGGGGCAGTTCTGCCCTGTGCTGTGGGAACCAACTCTGGCAGTGAGTTTAGTCCAGAGCAGAAAGAGCCCTGGTGATGTTGTGGGTTATATCTTGGGCTGCTAACCTCAAGATCATTAGATTGAAGCCACTAGCTGCTCAGAGGGAGAAAGATGCGGTTTTCTTTTTCTCCAACAGATGGACAGTCTCAGAAACCCATAGGAACAATTCTACCCTGTTTTATAGCGTCATTGTGAGTTGTTATCATGAGTTTAAAGTTTTTGATATTCCTCACTCATCCACAGTCTGAGTG